CATGTTGCTAATGCACATAAAATTATGACAATTTCACTCTCTCTCTCTTCAGTGAACATGCTTCTGTTATATTTCTTATTTTCAAAATGGTGCTGATCGTTTTTTGTCCTGTGTTGTTGCTGGGGCAAAAAGTGGCACAGGAATTTGTCCCTGGTCAGCCAACACCTTGGACAAAGCATTTGTTGGGGGGTCTGGGTCTTCGGAGACCTTTATACCTGCATACTTGAGAATTTTATGCACAAAAAGATCCATTAAAAAACATTTTCAAAACTGGAAACACCTATCCAGCTCTCCTCAGGTAAAGTTATCACCTCACCTGGACCCTTGATTACAACAAATAAATTACAGTGTACATATAAATAGCAGTAATCCCAGTAATCGCACAACAGCCAGTCAATCAAGGCATATACCAATCGATTTTTAACTGCAGCTTTTTTCATCTGTTTTGATACTTCTTGGCCCAATTGTCAAGTGGGAAAACTCCCAGCACTCCTGACGGCCAGTCCGCCCTTGGTGAAACATCATGGTAATGGATAAATCTTTAAAATAATCAACACTCCGAGGATATATCTATCTCAAAGGTAACATGAGAGAACTAATCTTTCCAAAGGAGGGAACTCCATTTTAGGCATTCCACTGCTCATAAAGTTCATAATTTTATGAGCACTTACTGTTGGAAATGGGAGTTCCCACAGGGAACTAGTATAATATGAGACAGGAGGTGAAGGTCAAAGACATTAACCTCCATACCCATACTTGTTTTTGCACTACTGGTGGGAAGAGCTTTTTAACGTTACTGTACTGTTGGGGACAAAGTCGTCCCTCCTCCACTGAGCAAACAACAAAACAAATAGAGTATCACTCTCGAGACCTAACAAATGTGACAGGTCATAAAACATTTGCAAAGCTGATTTTTATCAAAAGAAAAGACTGCATTGTTTACATCCATGTTTGCTTGCTTGCTTGCAGTGCACAAATGTGCATCATGTTGTCCCTGTGCTAATTTGTATGCATGGGCATTTGATATCAGGACCGCTGGTTGCTAGCAATATTGGCTATTTGCTTTAACCCTTTTACCTTTTTTATACAGATACATACAATTTAGAGTTATCAGCTGGGGCTTTATGGGCTTGAACTTATATGAAAAAATAATATAGACAGTAATCTGTTTAAGTACTAAAATGTATAAGATATGGACTCAAAACAGTTATTTCCTGTGGCTTTGTCTGTTGTGACTCCTGCCCGAACTTAAAGACCAGTCCAATGAAAATCAAGTGTTTAACCTTGTTACCGTCCATGTGGCGTTTTGAGTGAAATAATAATTAAACCGCATGAACTGAAATCCACCTTGAACTGAAGTGAACCAATGACAGTCTCATAAAAACAGATTCAGACAGCCAGGTTTTCATACATCACAAACCTAAGGAACCAATCCTGTCAACTTGTGGGGACGGGGCTAAATAAAGCTGAAACCTTGTCAGTAGAGAGAGCGAGAGTTAGCATTAGCACAACCACTAACACTGTGTCAGCTACTGCCGGTTACAAGCTAACAAACAACATAAACAAATAAAAGATGCTAACTGCGCGAACCGTTCTGATTAGTCTGCTAGTGTCTGGTTCTGGTCTCAACAGACTCCTCATCTGAGTCGGGGTCTGACTGAGGCTCAAACATGTTTCCTCCTCTGACCATCTTGATACTCTCTGCTCTTTCACCTTTCCACCTGGAGTTTAAAACATGTCTGGAGAGGCCCTTTAAATAAACAACATGCATCTTTAGCACAAATTCAGTCCAAATGGACAGAACTCCCACCAGACTGACAAGACTCATATTTACACATATTTTACATATTAAATCTAAAAGAAAGCCACACCATACAATATAAAATGATGACCTTATCTGTCACATCTGAGCTTTTGCACCATCTGCAAATCATAAAGCATCACTGGAAAATACTGAAAGTCAGAGTAATGGACTGAAACAAACGCACCACACATAAATAAATAAAAACTGCCAGCAGAGAAAATAGACACAAAACACTCACACACTGTTAGGGTGTCATGTTCCTTTGAAATACTGCCAGTGAAGAAGAGGAAATGAAGTTTATGGGTGTTAAACAGCGGCTTGATTTACGGCTCCATTTGTGCCTTTGTCTCTGGGCTTGATTGGTAATATCACAAAACTGTATGATTATGATTATGCAATATTAATGAGGAAAACACACAGAGCACATCGAGTATGTGCACATCATAATATACAAACAGGAAAGAACAAAGACTAATGCGGGCAGTAACATACTAAAAATGAAATATATTGAGTACTTGGTATTAGCAATGGTCTTCCAGATATTACTTTCTCTCTCTCTCTCTTTCTCTCCTCTCTTAATGAAGCTGGTAGTTGAATCATTCCCTCTTTGCCAGCCCAGCCCAAGACAGATGGGTGAAGGTTGTAGGCACCTCCGGCACATCTAAGCCCCAGAGGATTCCACTGTCGTGGGGGACAGGTGCTGACAGAGGTGCTTACATGATTTGAGGCTCTACAAAGCCTCCAGGACCCCCGCTGTGGCTCTTCATCCAAGAGCCACGAAACTGATGACTCTATCCGCCCTCTTAGTTGGGAGGTCGTCTGTCATGTGAACAGGGGTTTAAGACTACCAACAGTCAATGCTCCATACACCACAATGTGTGGGCCCGTATTCCTATGTCTGACCCCTTCCTCATCAAACATGTTTATTCTTTAGGATCAATATAAGTTGACATTTTTCAAAACAAATGGTATGTAATAAGTTAATCATTACTCTAATGACAATTAATTCTAGTTCTTTCATTCGACTAAACAGTACTCACTGCTGGTGTGGCCTTAAGGTGCAGCTCCTGAATACAGGGGAAAAGAACATAGAAGCAGAGTAAGCCATGATTTCCTACTACAGTGAGAAGACAATGATTTGCACTATAGCTATATATAGACAATGTATGATCATCACGTGAAGGTGACAGTTTGTGTGTCTGTCAACTCAAGGTCTCCTTGAATAACTATGAGACTGTCCTGCTGTAAAAATAAGAGGCCATGGGTCATCTATGCAGCAGGTCATTATGACCCATAGTTATGTTTTGTTGCTAGGTGACATCTAGTGGTGGTGGTCATTATGACAGGAGCAAAGGGAAAAGCGCGGTGACGTAGTATAAAGAGAGACAAAGTCAGCGTTAGGAGGAGGTTGTGGTGGAAGGATGAATATGACACAGGAGAGCGATGTTCGATTCCCGAAGGTAGGTAACCATGACAACCAAGGTCCTGTACGCCCGCCCCAATAGGGGTGCTATTTCAGGAGACACTCCTAACAAACAACGTAAACAAATAAAAGATGCTAACTGCGTTAACCATTTTGATCCGTCTGCTAGTCTCTGATTTCAACAGATTCCTCATCTGAGTCTGGGTCTGACTGAGGATCAAACATGTGGCTGAGTCTCTCTGATGTTTCCTTCTCTGACCATCTTGATACTTGATAATTTTCTGTGCAGCAGTTTTGCACTGGAGGCATAAAAGAACATAAAATATAAAAAAGCCAATAAACTGGTTGGAAGTTTATTCACTTTGTAGTAACTATCAGCGATAATTTACAGTAAAGCGAAAGCTTATTACTTTAAAAATGCAGTTGAGTGTCTGAGATAATGCACAGGCTTCCTGGAGCGATCATTTTATAGTTTTGGTTATTTAGTTTAATATAAGCAACCAGCTGGCAGAACATTGTGCAGTGATTCAACCAGATATCTGTGAAGGAAATTCCAGTGAACAACAAACAATCCACAACCAGGAAAGGTTATCATGTTTCAACAGGTGTTACCACCCATGTTGTATTTTTAACCTGTATCTAGTTTTTCTCTGTGTGCTGTGTGACTGGTCACCTCCTGATTGGACTGGATGCACAGGTTTGGCCTAGAAAGAGTCAGCTGATGGTTTGACTCCTCCACAACATCCTGCCATTCAAAGTTCCTTGGTTTTCCATTACTGTGATGACAGAAACCCGACAGCAGCATCTCAGTTCATCAGGTTTTTCAGGTTGTCTGTCCGTCCATCCATCCGTGCCATTCTCATGAACATTATATCTAAGTAACGCTTGGGGGAATTTCTTCAAATATGTCACAAACATTCACATGGACTCAAGGAGGAACTGATCAGATTGCATGAAAAGGTGGATAAACACATTCTTGCATAAATACCATGCTACACTTCATCAGTTCAGACTCACCTTTTACAGTAACATGAGCACACACAGAATCACATAAGCATACAACAATCATAATAATAATAATAAACTTCATTTATATAACACTTTTCATACAAGATGAATGCTTTACAAAAAAAAAATCTTTAAAACATTTTTTAAATCATTTTGCAGATTAAAACAACAGTGAATGGAAAGAGTGGGTCCCAAAGGCCGATATCGTTACCTTTCAATGCAATGGGAAAATTTGAAAATATAGAAATGAGAGTGACATTAATGAAAAGTTAAATTAGATAAATAGGTTTTCAGCTGTTGATTAAAAGTGTTGACAGAGGCCGCAACTCTTATACTTCTTAGTAGGGTATTCTATAGTTCTGGAACATAGTTCAACTAGCGTTACCACCTCGTTGTCTGCCTCCACCACTCAAACTTATTTCAGGTTACATTCCTGTTTATCCAGTGTCATATACAATAAGAACCATTTGTGTGAAATGTCATAATTGCAAACGAGACTGCTGGCTTCACAATTTAATCATAATGGGAGGCACTACTTCGTAAAACTTGTCAAACCGGGTAATTAATTGATTATTTGAAAAGATGCACGGAATGAAAACTTTCCTACTACCTTCCCCAAACACCCCACACAACCAGTTTATGCTGGACTTGAGCACGGGTCTAGAGTATATATAAGCCAACCACCACAGGATGTGAGATAGCAGCTTCACAGAGATACATCCTGACCTTCATCCAGAGAGATCATCCAGACTCATAAACACAGAGACAACATGAAAACTGTTGCTGCCTTCTTGCTGGTGCTGTGTTACCTGGCTGGTAGTCATGGTAAGTCACTGTCAGAGTCATTTTTATTACAGATTTGATTGTTGAATCCGTTTAAGGTGAAATTAATGAGATTTTTTGTTTTTGTCTTCACAGCATGGAACTGCAGGGAGGGTCCACGGCTCAGTAGCATTACACAGATTGATGCTGGACTGGGGAAAGTGGTCGCAGTAAACAGGTTCAATCAGGCATTTATCCTTATTGGAACAAGGTGGTACAGACTCAGCTCTGTCAGCCTCAAGCATATCTCAGTGGGACCTGCAGGAATGTGGGGAGCCAGCAACACAAACAGAGTGTACAAGTCCGTAGCAGGAAACATGCTACAATCCAGTGGTAACTATTATTACTATTTCCACATGAACAAATGCAGTCTGTATTGTCCTACCTGCTCATCATCACTGATTTTGTCAGGTTTAATGTATGTTATAATAATGCTAGTAAAGCACAATGCACAAACCACTGCTTGATGACTCAAGTCCTTGTTTATGTGTTCCTCAGGTCTGTCTCTGCAGCAGGTGGATGCTGGTGGTGATGGTCAGGTTGTTGGAGTATCAGTTGGCGGACGTAGAACCCTCTGTCTGAGAGAGAGTTTTGCTTTGGCCTACAAGGGAGTGGGCTCCCTGAGCTGGAGTTCCCTGGGAAGGGCGATGAGGTACTACAGCTGCAGCCCGAACAACGGCTGCTGGGGAGTCGACACGAGTTTCCGGGTCTACTTCACACAGGTTGGGCTCTGAAGCATCAGTGAAATCTCCTAATGATATTAACCCTATTCACTCATGGATCACGACAACAACACCATGTATGTATGCTTCTTATGACAGAGAATCGTACCAAGCAACTGTGGCAAAAGTGGATGGATATACGTGGCAGGGCAATCCATGACAATGATTGAAGTGGGGACCGACGGAAGTGTTTTTGGAGTGAATAGGAGTGGCCAGGTGTTCCAAAGGTGAGACAGTAGACCTTACAGTCTAGCAATGATATCCAAATATCTATTTTTCTAGGCGGTTACATCTTGCATGCACATGCTCTAAATGGAAAGCAGAACTGTAAAGTTTGCACCAGCAGAGTGCAATGCCAAAAAGCACCAAAGTTGCTTCCAGTTACAGCAGTTAGTTAATGTTCATAAATTCATGTACATAAACAAACTTTCTGTAAAATAAAAAAGGTGAAATAATCTTAAAGGGAAATCCCCAGAAGCCTTGTGCAAAGCTTCTGCTGATGAAAACAGAAATGAAAGCGATGGTTTCTCTCTCAACAGAATTGGCATCTCCAGTCGTCGCCCCCAAGGAACAGCTTGGCGTTCTGTCCCAATGTGCATGTCCATCCGCCACGTGAGCTACGACCTGGGCCGGCTCTGGGCCGTGACCACCTCTGGTTTGCTTACGCAGTGCACACACTAATGTCATCTGTGTGGCAGATGTTTAGTATGCCAGTTTCTGTCATGGTAGATGTCTTGGCACAGAGTTACACAAACTGGTGTAACTTTTCATTCATCTCATCTTTATTAGATCAGTACATATTTGGGAATTATATCCACAAGAAGTAACTGGTTCTTAGATATATTGTGATTCTTTCTTAAATGATCCAGCATCAATGCACAAAACTGTTCAGAATTTGATGATGCAGTAAATTACATTAAGCAAATAGTTTTCTTTTGTTTGTTTTTTTAAAAACTCACTTAATTGTGAAATAAATAAATGACATTAATAGCGACTTGTAACAGCTGTTAATGCTAATGCTATGTAGCAATAGCAAAACTTACAAATAGCTCATTTAAAGTAAGGAAAAGTAAAACCTATGTCGTCGTTCCAAACATGTTGAAATGTGAGGAACTGTGCATTTTTAATTTTATTTTCAACTTTTTTTTTATATCTTCAATTCTATGTTCAAATCGGGAAATATAATAAAGTTTGATAACAGAACCATTTTCTCTGAGTGTGTAGTGTTTTATAGAGAAGTGTTTTGGTGTCACCTACTTTTTTCCTGAGCTGATTATGTTAAAACATATATATGTATCTAGTATTATTAATTCTGCACAAATCATAAAGTGTGGAGTGTAGAAGTCAGTCATTTGTTGTTGGAAATGATCAAAGCTAAGTTTGCTAATGTGCTGTGCTATGAAGCAGCATTGAAAAGGGGAAAACATCCTGTATTGGAAAACGAGCTGCAGCTCCAGCTGATTTTCAACCAATTCATGGATCTCAAGTTAGCTTAATCAGCTAGCTACACTTCAAATCTGCCAGTAACAGCTGGTCAAAACTAGATTATATTAATTTGAATCACAGCGCTAACCGAAACACACATCCGGCACGGAACGGCACAGCACAAACGTGTACCAGTGCTGACCTTTGAGGAGACAGAGAGGAGGAACCTATCATAGCTTATTAGCTCTGGTGCATAATTCACATTTATGTAACCTCCTGTATTGGAGTAAAAACTGCTCCACCAAAGAGAGATGGTTTGCAGTCAGTTTCGGGACACAGGTGGATGGTACAAATACATCTTTTGAACAAACTGTGTGAAATTATGGTCCCATTAGCAACCGAGCTGTGCTAACGAGCTTGCTAACTGACCATTATTAAAAAAAAAAAAAAAACTCATTAACTTCAGTCTCAGTACACCAACTCGTTTATCTCTGCAAAGGCAGGGGAGTAAGGGAAGAAACACTAGAGACAAATTTATAACAGAGAAGCTGGTTACAAACTGGATGTGGACATTTACCAGACAGGGAGAGTATGGGAAGTAATTGAGATGCATGAAGCGATGCACGGGTCAAACTCTCATGTTGCGTGGAGCTTATCTGGAAAGATAATCTGCCTCACAGGCTGCTGATGTAGCTGCTCTCACTGAGTAGAGATGATCATTTGACTAAACCTTCAATAAATATTAAAAGTCCATTTTATTTATGGGGCACTACATCAAAATGAAAAACTCTTTTGATGATTTGGTGTGAAGTTCCGTCTCTGCAGCTGCTTCGAAATCAGCTGTTTTAAAATTTCTACTTAAAATTACATCAATACGTACAAGAGCTAGGATTAAAATTCATCCCTGTTTAATGAAATATCCTGCAGATCTTATGTATAATACCTGCAAAACTGATATAAAGCCATGCACTCTGGTGACAGTTACGGGTAGAGATGTGCAAACATGAAAGACCACTCAACTACACCAGTTATTAACATCTATTGACAGTTCAACACATTGAAAGTCAGGTCAGCATTTTTCAGTTAACCTTTGCAGAACATCTTTCATTGTATCTGCAATACTCAGGTACATGTATGCACACACTCACACACACATACCTGATTCTGGATGAATAATTCTGCTCTGTGGTGCACATCAAACCTCTCTCTTAGTGTTCGAATGTTTCTTGCACAGTCACTCTCATCTATTTGAACCGAATCAACCTTGATTCAGCTTTTAACAAAAAGTAAAAGCCTCCATTTAATATTGACATGACATTTGACATTTTAGCAACTTAGACGAAGCTCTACAATGGTGAGGTAGATGTTTGTTTTTAACCTTTTCAAAGCTGGGAAAGAAGATTTGTTGGAGTGATTGTCTGTTCAGCCATTATCTACAGAAGGAGAGCAGAGAAGTGTGTATATCTTTCACACCATTGACTTTAGAGGGAGTTTAAGAAATTCTCTCATATTAAATAGAAAAAAAAAACCCTCATAGCAACTTTAAAGACTCCCAGTTCCAGTGATTTTCTTACTGGTTTGGCTTCACAGTCATGCACAGAAAAGAAACTGATTGTGACCACGGTGTTTTCATAAACCCCACCATCTGCATTTTGATGGTGCAAACCGACAATCACATGTTTTTTTTTTCAAACGCAACATACTCATAAAAACAAATAGTCTAATATGTGTAGCCATAGGTGGGTTACACTCACCTGGGCCAATATTTTTGTCACTGAAGGTCGTCTAATCACAAAACTTCTAGAAAACGTGGGATCAGTGTTGATGAATTAGTACGAGTCAGTGAATTTTGCTTCAGCTTCCTCTGGAAAATGTGACCATTAGAGATAGTTTGGTTCTAGTTTACCACTGGACGATTGTATCTTTGGTTCATTATCTGCCATGGGTTGCATCTGAGGAGTTTTGGGGTTTGAGTGATATAGGATGCTGAAGGCAAGACACTTTGGATACAAAAGAGACTGAGAAAATGGAGTTTGATACACACCACAAGCTGTTTTGGTATACACCATTTACACTGAACATCCTCCAAGAAGAGTGGACTGGACCGACAAAACGGCTCCCACGGCCCCTCCAGAGCCTTCGTCTGGCCAAAGTGCTCTGGTTATGAGAAATAAGCACAGTGACACAGCAGTGAGTCAACCATACACACTTACCTATAGTCCAACACAACAGCAAGGGGAGGCACTAGGTTACGCACTGGATAGCCTTAGGGAAAAATCCCTAACCTGTGGTTAGCGTAGCATAACAACCCATGAAAAACCCAAACCAAACCCAAAAAAAGACAGAGACGGACACCTTTACTGTCCCAAGATGTACTTTTATAACAGAGCTTGATTCCTTCTTTAGATTGACAAAACATGCCTGGGAGATTAATATTACATATATAACATAGAAACCACCAAACCACACAGCAGCAGCTGCTGGTGTTTGGGATTCAGCGTCGAGACCCTGTTTTCAAATGTGTTGAAAAATGTAGACCTGGGCTGATCCATTCCACTGCAGCTAAATTCACCAAGTCCAGCCTCCTGCAGGCTTCCAGCTCCATTGCCTGTACATCACACGTGTGAATCCTTATAAGCAGCTGGCGCGGCCAGCTCAACGCCAAATTGCAGCAAATTGCTATTGTTGATGGAATTCAATCACATCACGCTGCATATGAGAGTATGAAGTGTTATCATTCACATTCAAAGTGAGGGAGGCATTTTGATAGACATAGACATAGAGACATAGATAAACACCTCTCAGATATAAACAGGTTTATTTCCCTCCAAAACTATTTATCTATAGATGATTCATATTGTGTCATCTATCATCTCTCAGTAAACCAGCCTCTGGCCTCCCTGTGTTATCACTTCTACAAAGAAAAATTGGAAACCAGGTTTGTACAGTACGTGATTCCACATCACCAGTCACAGGTTATGTGACTTATACCACCACACCGTGAGGACCACACAGTTCATGCAGACCTGGAAAACGTTGGCTTTCATCCAAGGTGACTTACAAGTAGCATTGCAGTGATGTGAGAAGCCATGTGATTGGATAATTGGTCCCAAAGACGTGGTGTATATTTCAAAGAGGAGGGGTCCCAGTTACCGACCCTTGGGGCACTCCAACGGGGAATGGATGGGATAAGGATGTTTGTCCTTGTCATGACACACTGAAGGAGCACCCAGGATTCAAATCAAGAAAGGGCTTTGCCTGAGATGCCCATGTCGGAGAGTACAGAGAGCAGGATGTGCTGGTTCACTGTATCAAAGGCTCCTGATAGGTCCAGCAAGATAAGAACTGAGGACTGAACTGCTCATCACCGGGCAAACAGCATCCCTAGAGTGAAGCATGGTGCTGGCAGCATCAATGCTCTGAGGGGGCTTCTTAGCAGCAGGGACAGGGAGACTGAGGGAAGGATGAATGCAGCCAAATACAGAGAGGTCCTTGAAGAAAACCTGTGTGGGGCTGCGCAGCTGGACATGAGACTGCTGTGTTGCAACCGCAATCCCTCATAGTCTCAAATTTTTCCCTTTGTACTAAAATTTCATACTTAGCACAAAAATACATAACCTAATATGAAAGCCAGTACTGATGAATGATTTTCCTGTAACATCTTTAATCACAAAGAGACTAGATGGTAAAATTGTTACAAGTAGCAACAAGTTAAAGAAGGAGATTTGGTTTGTCCAAAAGACTCTTGAGTAATGTGACAATTGTTCCCTATGAAGTGTATTTTTTAACTTAGGGGGTTTGTGCTCACTTGTCCCAGATGAATATCTGCCAGTATATAAAGACAGATATTCAATTTTATATATCAAGAAATTAAAATGAGTGAGGTTGCTAATGACAGAAGTGGGTTTACAAATCAAAAAAGATGGAGCTCTAGTCTCAACATCGTCTCTGCAGATGTAGATGCAAACATGGACGTGGTTAATGTTCGTGGTCATTCATTCTTGATGTTAACAGTGAAAGAAAAAGTCCACACCCTGAACGCCATTTAAGTCTCCTTTAAGTCCCCTTCATTTCATTAGTAACCACTTAAATGAAGAGGTCACATAGAGATCTTTGATGGTCATTATACTGAGCTGTTTATGTGGAAATATATATGCATCTAGTATTATTAATTCTGCAGAAATTATACATTGTGGAGTATCAAGTTCAGTTATTTGTCAGTGGAAATGATCACAGCTAGGCTTGCTAATTTGCTG